TGATCAACAAGATAACAGCAATGTCTCCACCAACTAACAAGAAAGAAACACAAGCTTTCTTAGGTGTTGTGGGGTTTCTGGAGAATTCACACTCCAAATTACAGTTCGATTGTACGCCCTCACTATCATGTGACCCGGAAGAAGAATGATTTCAAATGGGGCCCTGAGCCACAAGAAGCCTTTGAACAAATTAAATGACTGAGAGTTCGTGCAGTAGCCCTTGGACCAGTCCAGACTGGCCCCGATGTGAAAAATGTACTCTGCTGCAGCTGGGGTCACTAGAAAAATGTGGAGTGAATTCATTTTCCAGGAAAAGTCAGGTCTGAATATCTTGGCTCTGCAGGTTTCCTTCACTTGGCTGGTGAGGAGGACAACTCCATGATCCCTCTTGGGGCTGTGCTGGAGCTCATGAGGGGTAAAGGAAGGGGAGGACTCAGAGTCCCTTCACTTCACCTAACCCCTCGTACTTCTGTGCTTCAGATTGACCAACTGGACACATAGGTGGGGTCTTTCTGTCCTTTTCGATCACTAGTATATTATTTTAAAGGTGATTCATCTCTTCCAGCTTCCACCTGATGCCAGTTCAGCTGGTGAGGTCAGGGAAGCTGCAGAAGGAGTTGGGATGCTCTGGGTTTGCTCAGCAAGGAGGAGACACCAAGACTGTACTTTAGTTGCATGCTTGGACTAAATATTCCCCGTCTTCTTCTTGTGCTCGGGCACATTCTGACTTGGTGTAAGCTATCTCCCTTGGCCAGGGGCCCAGGATGCCCTCTGGACGCATGGAGATGTGCTGTGCAGCTTAAGTGGACATCAGGCAGCCTGGGGCTTATCCCTGAGTCCCCTGGTGATCAGGTTGTCCCATGGGGTGGTGGCATGGAGGGAGGGACCCCTCCTGAGGTAGGCATATTCTGGGGATGCTACTATGCGCAGGACTTCTGGTTTATCCCACTGTGGTAGCAGGGTCCTGGGCAACTGGCTATGACTTTGGTGAGTGCTACTCTGTACGTGGTGGGTTGCTTGTGCTTGGGCTGCTGCTTCCCCCTGCCTTCAGGGTACATCATCCCTCACCAGCATTTTCTTCCCATTGCTGGAGGCACACCAAGCTAGCAGAGGGTTTGGTGATTGAATGTGGACATGTCATGTACCTTTTCCTGTGGTCAGGGATGTGTTTGCAGTTCCCATGGATACCATCCTACCCATCCCCAAGGGGAGCAGCCACTTCCACTTGCAGGATGTAGTGTGGCTTCTCTAAGATGCACAGGTTGCTGTGGGCATTACTTGTAGGCACAAGTGATGGGAATTTCCTGTCCCAGCTGTGTTTGAGATGTTTACAGGTGGGTTGGAAAGGTGTCTTGACCCTACCACCACCACCAAAGCTCTGGCAGCCTGTGTGGCAGTGCTTTTGCCACTGTGAGAATTAACTGCAGGGCTTTTTCAGCTTGCATAGGACCTGCTGGAGGTTTTCAGAGGTTCCCAGCTCTGCTTCACCCAGCTCTCTAAAATTAACCATGTAACCTTCCTAAAAATATTCAGAGGGTAGTAGCCCCTGGAAAGCACCAGTGCTGCTTGCTCTCAGCTTCTAGACCAAGCCATCAGAGAGATGAGATTACCTGCTAACCTGTCTCTCAAAGCCCTGGGAAGCTCTTGGCTTTCTTGAAGTCTTGTGCAGGATATGAGTCCAGGTCTGGATCTGAACCTGCCTTTCTGGGCCAGCCTGTTTCCCATCTTCTTCCTCACTTGCTCCTGGTGAGAGCTGGTGCCTGCCTGCACATCTCTGTGACATGTGGTGACATTGCCAGCTTCAGGTTTAATGTGCTGCAGGCAGGAGCATCACCAGCTGCCCAGGGTGCCTTGGGAAGGAGGAAGGGTCCATGGCCTTTCCCTGGAGCATCCCTAAGCCTCCCCATGGATGTGGGAGGCACAGGCGAGGAGAAGTAGCTGGGCCCTTTGTCTTTTTTTTTTTTTTTTTCATGCATGTGAGAGGAGGGTGAAAAGGGCTTGAGGAGGAGGGAGAGAGCAGAATTTTCCATGAGCAGCTGTCAAAATGTAATCTTCATTGCTTGGACTGGCATCTTAGGCAGAATAAATTAACGGGGATTTTGGGGAATGTGGAAAATCCCATAGCCTGGAGGAGGGCCGGCCATGGGGGGAGTAGCTCTTTCATCTGCAGGACCAGCTCTGGGCCCCAGCACCTGCCTGAGCCACAGAGGTATGCTCCGTGGTGCTGGGCTCCACTGTTGGGTGTCCCCTGGCCTCAGTGGGTTTTCTATCCACAACATTCCCCCAAAGGTCACCCAGAGAAGGGGTGAAGGAGTCAAACCCCCTTCCCTGCCTCCCCTTTCCCAGGCTCCAGTGCCTGCCATGGAGGGGGATGCAGGCAGTTACTTTTGCAATGCCAAGTATTTGTGCTGACAGCTGGGGTGCAGGGTGCCCCCTGCCCCAGGGGTCTTTCCACGCTGGCTCCTCACTCCTGCTTGGACCCAGGAATTTATGGAATTGCATTTTCACCCCGCTGCTCTGTCCTGTGAAATGCAGATCCAGGAAAGTGTGTGCACTTGGCTCAGCCCCCAGACCCATGCAGCAGCTAGCATCTGTGCCTGGAGCACATCACACATGTGGTGGGGTTTGAGCCTGGGCCCCTGCATCTGCACAATGTCCCCACATCCTTATCACAGGGGTATGGTGGCACTGGAGGTCCCTGTTCCCGTGCCAGCTGCTCTGGGAGCACTGAGGAGCATGATAGGTGTTCATGCTGGCTATTTATAACTGTGCTAAAGCTACCCCAGCTAGCAAAGAGGCCTGGAGACATGGCAACAGCGCTCACCAGAACCTGTAAAGGGTCCTGCACTTTCCCTGGCTCCTGCTGCTTCATGCCCTGGGCTGGGTGGTCTCATTCAGGACCCTCTCCCTTTGCCCTGGTTGCACATCTCACTGGATCCCTTTGGATGCTGCTGAAGCTGGTAGATCTGGTGCAGCCATTTAAAATAACACGTTGGCACAGAAAAGAGGGGGGACACACAGAGAAAATGAGGTCTTCCCTTGTGCACGGGGGATGGTACCTCACCTCTGCAAATGCCTTATCCTGACACCAATCTGGCAGTTGGAACACCTTTCCCAAAGGGAGCCCTTTGCAGCCACCCTGTGCCAGGGGCTTGCCACTGGAAACCAGTCCCCAGAGCTTCCCTGGTGCTGGGAGACCATCCTCCTTCAACCAGGATAGATTCAGCTGGAGACAGGCAGGCTGCCAGGGGAGCTGAGTGACAGGAAAGGTGTCTTGCAAGGGGAGGCTAGTTGGATCTTGCAGGAGGCAGGCTGGGAGGCTATCTGAGCCTGCTCTATAAATACACCAGGTGGATAAACACTTGGGAGAAGGAAAAATAGCACCCAACTATTTCAGCTAATGGGCACTGCTGCCACAAGGTATAAATCAGTCAGGAGTAAAATTAGGCTGGAGAGAAGGCAAGTCGGGGCTGCTGCCCATGAGGCTCCAGCTGCTGGTGTTGCCCTTTCATCTAGGCCTTGGTGCAAACAAGGCTGGACTCGCATCAGAGACCCTGTGGCAGGGATGTGTCCCTGCAGTGACACCCTGCCAGAGGGTCTCCCTGTTTTAGCAGGTCCCTTTAGAGCCAGTCTCCTGCTATCCATGATGCTCATCCTTGCTGTGCCCTCCCTGGGAATAACCACCCTCCAGAGGGGCAGGAGTTGGCATCCCTGTCCTAGGAGCTGGGAAGTAACTGCTCTCTCATTAGTAGCAATGATAAATACAGATTATCTTGACTGTTTGCATGGCAGAGGTCTGACCTGCCTACCCTTAAAGCCACCCACACTTTCTCCTTTCCAAGAAGCAAAAAATATGCACTTGCCATGTCCATGTGGTAGTAAACAAGAACCTGATTCATCCTTAGATAATTTGTGTACATTCCTCTACTTTCCTGAGAAGCCTTTGCATATATATGAAGAAAGCTCTTAAGCTTCACTGCAGTCAAATCTGATCTGCTTTTAGAAGTCAGGTCCTTAAATTACCCTCTCTGCAGGCAGGGAGTTGATAGATATTCTGGTGCAAACCCATGGTGGCATGCATGTGTTTAGCTGCGGCAGCTTGAGCCCCACTGCACTGGGCAGTGATAAACTGTGTGGCCTTGAGTTAGCCACAGTGGGACAACAAGAGTCCTGGGTGGGTGACCTGCAGGACTGGTTGGAGTTTTACTCTCTAAGAGTTTGGGGTTTAGTAAGCCTGGGTTTGGGGCAGCCTGGCTTGGTGGCACTGGGGATGATGCCATGGCAGTCTGTATGGCTCGAGCTTGTGGTGGCACTGGTGGGATACCCTGGCACCAGATGGGCTCCATCTTCATGCCCAAGCAAGGATGCAGAGCAGATCTGGCCAGCTTCATCCAAGAATCTGAGTTGCCAGGCAGTGCCAAAATCAAGCTGGGACACTAGCCTGCAGGGTCCCCTGCTCCTGGAGCTGGTGGCTGGCATTGGAGGGCTAAGCACCCACCTCACTCCTGCCAAAAGCTGGAGAAAGCAGCAATGTGGGCTCATGGCTCTGGCCTGCCAGTTCTCTGCTGCAGCCCTACAGCAAACCCTCCTTCCTTGCAGCTTTCCTGGCTTGCTGTGGCAGCAGGGACATCACCATCCAGGCACAGAGATGTGCCCCTGCCCTTGCCAGCTGCGGGTCCTGTGTGCCCTGGCTGCTCTTGCCCTTTGAGGCCTGGCAGCAGCTGGTGACCACTGTGCTCTGCCTTGGCATGCTCCCCGTGCCCTCTGCACAGCAGGCATGGGGATGACCAGCACGCCGGCTCAGGCAGCTATCCCCTCTCAGGTGGCTATCTCCCATGCTGGCACTGCTGGCAGCCAGCACAGGATGACCAGGTGCCCAGTGGGCACTGCATGGGGTCTGTGCCACCGTGCAGGCAGCAGGTGAGGGGCTGCCTGCTGCTGGGATATGGCATAGACTCTTCTGTTTCCCTCACTAAGGGCTCTTTCCGCTCTCCCTCCAGGTTTCAAGTGCCCCATTTGCTCCAAATCAGTGGCTTCTGATGAGATGGAAATGCACTTTATCATGTGTCTGAGCAAACCTCGCCTCTCCTACAATGGTAAGAGCCAGGTTCTGCAAGGGACACAGTGTCCTGCTGGCTTGGGATGGCTCCAGGCAGGCTGGAGACACCGCAGGCTGCATGAGCAGGCCGTTTGGATGGGCTTGCCGAAGGGCTGTGCTCCAGTGGGATGGTGCAGCTCACAGTCCTTGCTCAGCTCTGCTCTCCTGACATGGCTCAACCCCGCTGCTTGCACCTTTGGGGGACAGCCCACTCCCTGTGTTGCAGTGTGCTGTGCCAGAGGGATCTGTCCTGTCCGGGTGTCCTGCCTGGGGTAGAGGACATGTGTCCTCCTGGGTTGCCCCTCAGAAGGGTCATTGCTTTCCTCCCCTTGCTGGCAGTGAAGCTTACTAGGCTGAGCACTGCTCCTGCATCTCCCATCCTCTTGATGCTCACCGCCTACTCAGTGGTGCCTTTTTGGAAGCCAGCCCCATCCCGGCTGCCTCCACAGAGGTGGCCATGGGCTTCCCTCCATCCCGGGAATGGGAATGCCTCCACAGTGGACCACATCTCACCGTTGCCCTCTCCTCCCAGATGACGTGCTGACCAAGGACTCTGGTGAGTGTGTGATCTGCCTGGAGGAGCTGCTGCAGGGGGATACGATAGCCAGGCTGCCCTGCCTCTGCATCTATCACAAAAGGTACTGCATAGGGACCAGGGGACACAGCCAGGTGGGTGGCAGGGGGACAGTTGGGGACATCCTGAGGTTCAGCAGCATGGTGGTGACACACTTTCCTCTCTGCAGCTGTATAGACTCATGGTTTGAAGTGAACAGGTCTTGCCCGGAGCATCCTTCCAATTGACCTACTGGGCGTGCTTGCTGATTTCTCTCTAAGGTGAGCCTGCGGTGGGCTGGACAAATGAGATTTTCCTGTGCTGGGTTTAAATCCTGGGCTGGGAGGGTGAAATGAGCTGGCTGTGGCTCCTAGAATCATAGAATTAACTAGGTTGGAAAAGACCTTTAAGATCATCAAGTCGAACCATTACCCCAGGACTGCCAAGACCACTGATAAACCATATCACTGCAGGCTTCATCTACATGTTTTTTTAACACTTCCAGGGGTGGTGATTCCACCACTGCCCTGGGCAGCCTGTTTCAATATCTGATCACCCTCTCGGTGAAGAAATTGTTCCTAATATCCAATCTAAACCTCCCCTGGCACAGCTTGAGGCTGTTACCTCTTGTCCTGCTCCTCACCTGGGATCATCTCTCTCTGCCTTTTCAGGGCACCTTGCTATACCTGCTGTACCTCCTCTCCCCATCCCCCCTGCCCCTCCTGGAGTTTTGGGCTGACTTTAATTCCTCAAGAAGACAGAAATAAAACTTGAACCCACTTGGGACAACAGCGATTTTTTAAATTTGTTATTATTATAATATTTTAATTTGGTTTGTTGGATTTTATTGTATTTTTGCCCTTTTTCTGTTTTATTATTATTATTATTATTATTATTATTATTTAAACAATTTAAAATAAAGAACCATCCAGGAGAAGACAAGTGTGAGACCAGTGGAGCAACCCACTCTCCCCTCCACAGTTGCTGGTCACCAGGAGAGCTCTTCCTGCCAGTGAGGCCCCAGGGACACCCTCTGCCAAAACCCTGCCATGATGTTTGGCTTTTCACTCCAAAACAAAAGGGGGAACTGTTGGGGGAAAACAGCTGGCCAACCAGAACACATGGCATTCCTCATCGGTAACCCCCACCTGGACCTGCCCATGGGCTTTGCTCGGTGGTTTTGCACTGACTCAACAGGAATTTTCTCCTCTTTCTTGTCTCCCCTTTGGAGATCTCCACCCCAGGCCCAGCAGCTTGAGATGGGGAACTGGGGAACTCTGCCCCATGCTGGGAACGGGGACACTGCTCCCCTCTGCTGAGCCGCAGGGGTCTGTCTATCAAGTGTTGACAATGAGTAACAAAAAAAAAAAAAAGAAGAAAAAAAAATGGTAAAAAAAAAAACACCAACCACAACTGAAGCTTTGTGTTGACTGTCGCATTCTTCGATTTGAGCTTTCCTGCCCCAGTGATGTTTACAGACTGGTCACTTTAACTCAGCTATAACCACTCAGAGACTGGAGAGCCGCAGCATCCCACTGCCCCTCTGTCACCCCTTGCTGGGCTCCTCTTGCCAAAACTCCTTCCTTGCCATCTCCTTGGAGTTGAACCCTTTTGAGGAGGGGATGGGGAAGGTCCCCAATGGCCTCTCCCTGGCCACCCCAGCCATGGCAGTGGCTTTGCCAGAGGTGCCAAGATGGAGTCAGTTCCTGACAGTGATCCCTCAGGCACGGTGGGTATGTTTTTGCTGGCGAGGCCTACCCTGCTGGTGGCTGTGCCCCTGCAGGAAACTTTTCTGTATTTATATATTAAAAAATAGGAGAAAAAAAACCAAAACCTTCAAAGAGTTCAGAGCTTGGGGGGGGGGGGGGGGGCTTCCTTCATTAGTCAAGGTGTTTTGATATGGTATTAAAACAATGTTCAATAAATAGTCACTGTTATTTTATTTCAGTGGCTTTCTTGGTGAAGCAGAGGGTGCTGGTGCCCCTTTCTCCATAGCTACCTTGGTGTGGGGATGGCCAACACAGCCTGGAAAGCTCTCAACCCCACAGCTCTGGGGAATGGGCTAAAGTGGGACCCCACCAATTCCCCCACCCTGAGGGTATGCACTGCTTGGGGCAGGGAAACCCTGGGGACAGGTTGGGGTGTCCCGTCCCCCCAAAAGACATCACAGTGCACGGAGGCTGCAGGTGCAAAGGGGTTTATTGAGGGTCTCTGACCCACAGGGGTGGGGATGGGGGATTTGGGGGAACACAAGGGGTGCCAGCCTGGTGCTGGTGCCACCCTCAGAGCACCTTTCTGGGGCTCATGAGGTTGTGGGGGTCCAGTGCATCCTTGATGCTGCAGGGTATCCAGCCCCTCTTGCCCCAGCTCCTCCAGCAGCAGCACCCACTTGTCCAGCCCCACGCTGTGCTCCCTGGTGCAGGTCTTCCCCCACCACCAACACTCATCCACATCCATGAGACACCCCCCAGGACCCAGTCCTAGGCTCTGGGAACCCTCACCCTGGTGACACCAAGGTCCCCCAATCCCTGGTCCTGGGCATGAATCCTTTGCTTCAGGACACACCTGGTTCCCCATCCCAGATAGTGGACACCATCACTCACCCCAGAGCCATGTCATGGCCCCCCAGATCTGTCCTTCATGCCAGAACACTCCTGGCTCCCCATCCCTTGTCCCTGAGCACCATGGAACACATCCCTAGGCGCTTTGTCACCAGGGCCACACCAGCCTCATCCCACGCTGGTGCTGTGCCTACCCATCTTCCTCTGCTGCTTGGCCAAGCTGTGCCAGGAGCAGTGGAGCTCCAGGAACAGCATGGGGACCACTGGCAGCTTTATGCTGTTGAAGCAGCCGCAGGCACTCACCATCACCTCATCCAGGAACTCTGGCTAGAAGGAGATAGCAAGAGCCCTGCCACCAGCACCCAGACCCCCAGCCTGAGCACCATCCCCTGGCACCCACCAATGTGTGCCTCAAGCGTGATAGTCTGCAGGACCTGCATGGTACAATCCATGACTGCCTGCATGCTGGGGAAGACAGTGGCGGTGCTAGCCTCAGGCAGCGGGTGCAGGTGCAGCATGGCCTCTGTGAGGAAGCCCAGGGTGCCCTTGGAGCCCATGAACAGCGAGGTCAGGTTGTAGCCAGCCATCTGCTTCCTGCATGGGGTTGGTGAGTGAGTTCCAGTTCAGCCCCAACCAAGCCCAGACCCCCCTGGTGCCCTCCTGGGCTGGCACCTGGCACCCGCAGTGTGGAGGAGACACCTGTCTGACAGTACCACATGCAGGTTCAGCACGTTGTGGTGCATGGTGCCAAAACACACCATGTTGATGCCTGAGGTGCCCGTGGCTGTCATGCCACATAGCGAGGCATTCGCACCAGGGTCTGTGAGCAGGGGATGGGAAAGGTGGCTTGGCATGAGGACGGGGCTATGGGACATCCCCATGAGACCCCATGCTGTGCCTGACCCGGTGCCAGCTGCAGTGCACCCCTGGGACCATGGGGACAGCATGGGATTATGGCACCCACTCCCCCATGGACACCTCTGGGACCACAGCATCTCAGTGGGGACCCCCATCACCCTTGGGATCAAAGCACACCCATGGTTACCCCCAGCAACTCTGGGATGACATCATGCCCAGTCCCATGAGCACCTGAGACTGTGGCAACCCCAGCCCTATGAATACCTCTAGTGCACCCCTGGCCTCATAGGTACACCCAGCACCCCCAGTGCCACCACACTCAGCCCCAGACACCCCCCTGTCTGCTCCCTGGTGCCCATGGTACCAACAGGGAACCAGAGCCCAGTGCCCTGTAAGTGGCTGTTGAGGGCCTTGCAGGTGACACCAGGCTCCACTGCCACGGGGAAGTCCTCAAAGCTCAGCTCCCTGGCATTCATGCAGCTCAGGTCAAAGCAGATGCGGCCCTGCCATGGGGCACCACAAAGGCTGGGCATGGGCAGCACCGGCAGCCCCAGGCAGGGGCTGGGCAGGGATCGGGGGAATCTGTACCTGCATGGTCTGTACCTGCCTATGCTGAAGGGCACCACTGGCACACAGTAGCAGCAGCAGTGTGCAGCCAGCTCCTGTACCTGCCCTACCGCATGTGGCCACACCATGGCGTCTGGGGGGGGACAGCTGGGGGCAGGGGCACCACCACTGCCACCTACCCCCCTCCACAACCTCCCCACCATGGCCCTTCTTCTTCTTCCCAACTCTCTCCTCTATGTCCCTTCTTCCTTGCCCCAGACCCTTCCCCCCATTGCCCTTCCCCTCCATGGACCCTCTCCCAGCCCAGACCCTTCTCCTCCATATGTTCATTTCCCTCCACATGGCCCTTCCCCAACCCAGACTCTTCCTCTCCCAAGACCCTTCCCTTCCCCACAGCTCTTTCCCTTTGAAGGGCCCTTCCTCTTCCCAGTGGCCCTTCCCATCCACAGGACTCTTCCTCTCCCAAGACCCTTCCCCTCCCCATAGCTCTTCCCCTCTCCTCTCGGGTATCCCGGCCCCCATCCTGCGTCCTTGCCAGCAGCACCACTCCTATTGCTTGCACCTCTAGCCGGGGCACTGGGGACTCCACAGAGACTGATGGGGACTGACAGGGATCCTGGGGAACAGCTCTGTGGATCCCAGGCTGGCAGGTCCCTGGGGTACGGCTCCCAGCTCTTGGGGCACAGGGAGCAGGAACACAGAAGAGACTCATGGGGACCCCAGGGAGCAAGAGCACAGGTCCTGGGCTGATGGGGACCTGGGGAACAAACCCCAACCCCAGGGACAGATGGGTGGCAGTCATCCCAGGGACCAAGGACACTGTCCTAGTTTCCATTACTGTAGTGTCCATTTTCTTCCTAGTATCTGGTACAGTTGATGGACGCAGGCCGGGGTCTGGGACACCTGAGCAGTTGTGAGGACACCCAGTGTGGCTGTTTTGGGCAGAGCAGGGCAGGGGCCTGGCAGCTCCTGGGGGAGGCTCTGGCTGGGAGGGAGGGATGGACAGACCCGTTTCCCAGGACTGCAGCCCTGTCAGCCAGAGCCACCTTAACGTGGCAGTGGCAGCAGGAGGGACTGGGCAGGGTCCCACTCCTGGCCTTGGGCCAAGCCACCATGTGATGGGCTGGGGGGGGGGGGGGGCAGTGGGAGTCCAGTGTGATCGAACTGCCCTCAGCTGTGGGTCCCAGATCTATGGCCCCAAGTCAGACCCTCCTTCCACCCCCCGCATTGTCCACTGCCCCCTGACTTCGTGGAGGCCCTGAAGGCTGTGGTCAGGGCCCCAAGGTATCCACAGCCATGGCTGCAAGGGAGCAGCATGGGCATGAGGAGTCCATGTACAATGTGGGTGTGTGGGCGCCAAGGACCCTGGGGAAGGAATGGGAAGGAACATGGGAGAGGAAGGGTCTGGGTTGGGGAAGGGCCAGGGGAAAGGAAATGGTCATATAGAGGGGAAGAGTCTGGGAAGAGGAAAGGCCATAGTGGGGAGATTGTGGAGAGGGGTTAGCGGCAGCAGTGCCCCTGTCTCCCCCAGATGCTGTGGGAGGGCCGCATGCAGTGAGGAAGGTACAGGAGCTGGCTGTGCTCTGCTACTGCTGCCACATGCCCATGGTGCCCTTCAGCACAGGCACAGGCCTGGAGGGCATCATCAACACCATGCAGGTACAGGCCCCCCCCAGCCCCTGCCCAGGGCTGCTGGTGCCAACCATGCCCAGTCTCTATGGTGCCCCATGGCAGGTCTGTGTCTGCTTTGACCTGAGCCTCAATGGCTTCTTGGTGGCGGTGGAGCCTGGCATCACCCAGAAGGCCCTCAACAGCCACCTGCAGGGCACACAGCTCTGGTTTCCTGCTGGTACCATGGTGCATCAGAGGTCCAGCTACAATCTGACTGATCAATTGTGGGCTCCAAGGGCATCCTGGGCTTCATCATGGAGGACACACTGCACCTGCGCCCAGTGGCTGAGGCTACCACCACCACCTTCCCCAACACCCATAGAATCATATAACAGTTTGGGTTGCAAGAGCCCTTCAATGTCTTGCACAATTCAGGTTCTGCAGGTCTCCATGCCCATGGCCTGCAGCATTTGGTGCTGATGGCCAATGAAGTTCCTAGATGAGATGACGGTGTCTAGCTGGGTGTGCTGGTGGTGGCCACAGTTCTAGAGCTCCACAGCCCCTGGCACAGACTGCAGGCACTGGGGCTTGGGAAGCTTAGCCAAGAGAGACTAGACATCCTGAGCCCCACAAACCCATGAACAGGTGCAAGATGCATGGAGGTAGTCCCAGTGCCAGTAGCAACCCCCTGAAGTCAGGGCTGGGTGGCCCCAGTGTCCCCCTTCATTTTCACCCCTAACCTTCTCATCCCCTCTCCTTTGTACCTGCAGCCTCTATGCACAGCATATCCCCCAGCAGGCAAATGCAGATACCCACAGGCTGGAGGGGTCCAGGCAAAACTTTATGCTGCTGAGGGCAGGGGGCTAAGTTTTGGAGGCTGCAACTCCATAGCTCTGGGAATCAGCAGAAGCTTCCCCTGCATTTAAAAGGCACCAATTCCAGTTTGTATTCAGTTACAGCTGGTACAGGAGCAACCCCCAAGATGTGAGAACATGTAGGTCAGACCCTTTCTGCTCCAGGCCCTGTTACCCCCCTGGGGATCCTTATCCAGAGCCCCGGTGCACAGTAGAACCTGTCCCACCACATCCAGTAGCCTCCACACCATTAAGATCTGGCCACTTGGGAGGCCCCACAGTAGCGGAGCAACCAGCAGCATCATCCCAAATTGTCAGGCACATCCTCATCCTGATTCAACAGGGACACAGCCCCACAACCTCAAGGCTGGTGGTTTTGTATGGAGATGCAGGGACGAGCAGGCACAAATCCACCTCCCAGGCTTTGCTTCATTATGGGCATGGCTCCAAAACCAATCCTGGCTTCTGGCCAGAGGGAGGAAAAAGAGAAAAGGAGATAACGACTGCAGCCCCTCACCCCTCTAGCAGCAGAGCCCCAAACACCCAGTGCACATGGGGAGTCTCTATGTACATATGCTTATACAAGGTAAAGAGGGCTGTCATGGAGGGGGATATATTTCTGGGGACAGGGTGGGGGCAGCAGCCTTGCACCATCACATGGCTGCCAGCTGGCCCAGCACCATCATGAACTGCTGCATGCTGTTGGCAAGGTCCTTGACACATTCCACCATATTGTTCAAGGCAGCAGGAGAAGGGTAGTGGAGGGTGGCTGCCTTGGTGGTCACCACAATCTCCTTGAGCATCTCACAGAGGAGGCTGCTGTAGTGCATCACCTTGTGCTGGACATCCTGGGCCTTGGCCTGGCAGGACAGCGTGTCCCCAATGAAAATGAGCTTGTGGGAACTGAGGATGATGAATTTGCTGTGGGCCACAAGGATCCTGGGAGGTTGGTTGGCGCTGACAGCAGTGAAGAAGGCACCAACAGCATTGGTGAGCATGGTGAGGTTGGCCTTGCACTGCCCCAGGTAGAAGAGAAGGAGCTGGCAGTCAGCAGGACACTGTGCTGGGCCACAGTGCTGAGGGGGGTGGGGCTCCAGATGCTTCAACTGCAGGAAGGATGGGTGTGAAGCAGAGCAGCCATCAAGCCAGTGCCTGCTCCCCTCCCTGGAGCCACCAGCATGGCTGACAGTGGCCACCAGCCCCAGGTGACAGCTGTGCCCCAGGGAAGCAGCAAGGAACAGTGCCAGTCCCAGGACAGCTGTGCCAGACTCCTCTCCACAGTGCTGGTGTGGGAGGTGAGCCAGAACCCACCACAGGGACAACCATGCAAGAGGGGGCCATGGTCTAGGCCAAGGAGGGTACAAGCAGAGCAGGACCCAAGGCCCCTGCCTGCCATGAGAGCTGTGCCCAGCAGCACCTGCCTGCCCCAGCACCATTACTTGCTGGTGCTCCAGCTGGTCCTTGCTCTGCCAGATGATGTTGCCTTTCTCCAGCAGCTCTTTCTGGGTCTTCTCAAACAACTCCTTGCCCTGCAGGGAAAGAAGGGGCATGACATGGAGTTCAGCAACACCAGCCTTGCCAGGACCAAGTCCTCCCCTGCCCTGGGACACCCCTGGTCCCCATAGTGCTCAAGCCATAGTGTAAAACCAAGATGTGGGTGGCAGAAGCACCATGTCAGTCAGATCCAATCCCCCCATGTCAGGGACCATTGGCACAAACCCCCCTATAGAGAGCATCCCCACTGCCTGCACTCACCTGGAGATGGACATAGTCATAATCCTCCATCAGGTCACTCTTGCTGTTCTCATAGGGCCTGTCAGGAGACTCCTGGACCAGCAGCTTGGGTGGGGAGGGCAGGGACCATGACAGGATGCTGCTAGCCTTGTTGGAAGGATGAGGGGGCCTGTGGCTGCCGCTCTCCACTACCGGTTTTGTCTGTTTGAAGAGGGGGGAGGCATTGCCATGCAGAAAGGAGGCCAACTGCTTAGTGTCATTGGGAATGCTGTGCAAGTGCATGATAAAGTGCTCCAAGTCATCCGTGCCCAGCTTACTGCTGGCCAAGGTGCTCAGGGCCCAGTGGCAAGCATCCAGCGTTGGCTGTGCCACACCAGAGTCTGGTAGACCTCCTCCATCTTCTGCAGCTGCTTGCTGAGCTTGGTGTAGAGGAAACAGTCAGAGGCCTGGGCGGCATTGCCCACTGCCCTCTGGGCAAACTCTAGCAGGTCCCTGAGGGCTGTCTGGACACCCTCAGCTGCCCACAGATGCTGGTGGTGTTGGCCTCCATGTGCTCAAGGCTGCACCAGTTGGCACTGATGAAGGACATGAGGTAGGAGATGGCACCGCCAACACTGTGCTGGAGCTTGGTCAGTGTCTCCATGGTGGCATCCACATCCAGGGACAACTCCTTGCCAGCTCCCTTGGCCATCTCCTTCATGGGCACTACATGCAGCAAGGATATGGAGATGTTGCTGTGGGTGCTACCTGTGCTGGAGATTGAGAGGCGCTTGGCATTGGCACCCTTGGCCTCACAGTCCACTTGTGGTGGAACATCATAGATGTACTCGCCCTCTGTGTCCAGGGAGCCATTGTCTGGGCCATGCAGGTCCCAGGGCAAGTCATGGGAGAGGACCAACCTCCCCAGCTTCCTGAGGCTGGGGGTTACATCATAGGTCTCTTGAGAGAGCAGTGGATTAGAGGAACCTTTCCCAGCCGCCAGTGGTACATCATAGATGTCCTCTGGCAAACAGGGCTCCTGCTGGGCCAGGAGCAGGTGGTGGGAGGGGTCAAAGGCTTTCTGCTTGGCAAAGGAAGGGGGCACATCATAGGCCTCCTCCCACGCTGGACCACCCAGCATGTCCTTGCTCACTGAGGGGGGGACATTGTACACCTGCAAGGGCAGTGGCAGGCAGAGTCAGCATTACTAGGAGAACCAGCTTGGGTCACACCTGGATAGGAGGCATGCTGTGCTGTACATCACCACCAGCTCCAGGGATGCAAGATAGTCCTGGGTGAGCACCAGGACAGAACCACCCCAAGGGTGCTCCTGCCCCAGGGAGGTTGGCACAGCCCTGCTGCAGCACCCCAGCCTCCCACATCCTCTGTGGGGTGGGAACCAAAGTCCTAGAGCAGCCCAGGAAGGATGAGACCTTGCAAGATCATCCAGTCCAACCTCATCCCATAGATAAGATTATCTAGGACCCTGTTTCCTCACATCTTGAAAGCTTTCAGTGCCGTGGAGGCCACCAGATCCCTGGGGAAGATGTTCCACAATTGTTTTTACTGTAAAATGTGCCTCTTGTATGGAGAAGCTTGGACCTCCCCAGCAGCACTTACAAGTTGGTGCATGTTCTCCTCCACGCTGGGAGGGGGCGCACATCATAGATCTCCTGCCCCAGGTCCTGCCCATTGGGACCCTTCACTGCCATAGGTGGGGTGTCATAGCCCTGGAGGGGAGGACGACACAGGGCTATGTGTCAGGGATGGTGTGAGTACCAGCCTCCTCCCAGAGACCACTGGGAAGGACAGAGGTGCCCAAAACAGCACCAAGGCTCACAATGTGCCCAGCTTTGTGTGTCATTCGTCCAGATTTGGATCCCACACTGTGACAGAGCATCTCCCTGCCCCCCAACCAGCCTCACCTCCTGGCTGAACTGGCTCAGGACCTCCCCTTGGACAGGCACCACATTGTAGATCTCCTGGGAGCCCATGGAGAGGAGGTAACAAGGGAAATAATACTCATCCTGCTCGCCCTTTGGGGAGTCATAGGCATACACTTGCCCCATATGGGTGGGCACCAGCACCTGGCATGAGGGAAAGGGATGAGGTGGGCACCACCGAGCATCCCCAGCCTACCTCCCACCCCACATCACCCCTCCGAAAAGCAGCAATGAGTTAGAAAGATGGGTCTGGGACTGTCTGGCACCGGGAAACCGGTGCCCACGGGAGGGCGCTGCCTGGCCGGGCTGCGCTGCCAGGACCGGGATGATCTCACTATTTCTTGCGGCGAGCACCAGCAAGAGACAAAGCCCAGCGGCACGTCCGCAGCGTGCAGGAGTGAACGGCCGATGTGGGCACCGAGCCACGGGCAGGGATCTGCCAGCTCCTGGCGTGTACAGCAGGTCCCTGCCCATGACTCAGTGCCTCCCACCTTGCTGTACAATGGGACTCGAGAGCAGCACAGAACCAAACCCAGAGGGTCAGGGCACCCCGGGGCAAGAAAGGCTGAGCCACTGGCAGAGGTGCCAAGCTAGTCCTCCATTTTAGGATGCTCCCCATGCACTGGCCGTGATCTGGCAGCCCCACAGACCCTCAACGGCTGCTTCCCGGGGGGCGAGCGAGAGCAGCAATCCCAGAAAACACAACGCTGAAAGCACCTCACTCCTCCAGAATTGTGTACCCGGGAAGGGGCAGATCCAGGAAGAGTGTGGTGTCCAGGGTGCAGCCATTAGGCTAACATGGACAGGGTTCCTGTGCTGGGGACAGGCTGGTGGCTCACCCTTGCCAATAAACCCAACTGACAAGCACCAGCAGGTGATGCAGAGGGTTGACCAATGTACAGGGGGGTGGTACAGGGGGGTTGTACAGGGGGGTTAGAGGAATTCGGTTGCTTGAACAAAAGTATAGTCTGTTGTAAATGCCTACTAAGCAGAACAAAGACACCTGGTTCTATTGATAAGGAAAAGCAGACACCTGATTCTACTGATAAGCAGCTATTGATAAGGAAAAGCAGATGCCTGAATCTACTGATAAGGGGGAGAAGCAGATGGTTTATGGCTGGGACACTGACCAAACCCTAAGGCCATATGTGAAGACTAAAAGGTGAAAAGTTTAAGAGGAAGACTCATTTACTTCATCTTGAAGACCCCTACCGGCTTGACTCCACAACTCGTTAAAGTTGTAAAGTAGGTATGCTTTTTATTCAGCGCTGAGACGCAGGGGGATAATTCCTCAAAGTCATGCGTACCTCAGTGTTGTTTCCCTCTACATTTATTTTCTAAACTTATATATGTTCATAAGGGGTCTGCTTTTCCTTATCAATAGCTGCTTATCAGTAGAATCAGGCCTCTGCTTTTCTTTATCAATAGAACCATGTGTCTGCTTTTCCTTATCAATGGTTAGTGCCTTTTTTCTGCATAGTAGGTATGACAGGTACAGACAATACTTTTGTTTAACCAAGCAAATTCCTCTAACCCCCCTGTACAACCCCCCTGTACATTGGTTAACCCTGTATCAATCCCCCCTTTTTCTATAAAATTATTAAATTCTTCTACTATATTATTTATGACAGCTATCCATGTTCCTTCTATTGATTTATGAAGTGATTTCAATATACATTGTATTATGCCAGGCACAATCATTAAAATGAGTAGTCCTATAGCTAAGATTATAAGGTCTTCTTCAAGCATTTCCCTGAACCATTCAGTAACTCCTAGGTTATTTAGCCATTCATCCATTCCACCTTCAACAATTCTAAGCTCTTGCATATTTTCCTGCAATTTTCGCAGCTTAGCATGAATTGTTTCATAATGGTCAGATAAATTCATGTAGCACATACTTTCGAAATCCCAACAACCACCCTGTAACAATATCTTTGTTACATCCCGGGCTTGTGCGCTTCTAGTTGGAAAGGCTTCTGGCCAACCTGAAAAGGTGTCTTAGTAACAACAAATGTCTATTATACCCCCCCCCCCTTTTTCTGTCCTTTAGAAAATTCTCCTGCAACATTTTATATACTGCCATTACCATCTAGAGTCTTTTTGAAATAGTTTCCTGTTTCTACTTGATATTTAAATTTCATTTCTTTTTTCAATTTTCATAATTTATCATAGATCGTTTACAATTTCAGGAAGAAAATTTTATTATACCACAAGCAATCAATATTAAAGCAATTAATATTAATATTTCTGCAACCAGTTGCCTTAACCCGGAGAAATTAGGTAACCATGAGGTTAACTTTTTCCATATTTCTTCAAACCCCCAGGAGGTATCATCCTTGGCCATTTCATGAAATATCTTATTTCCTCCAGATCTGTTTCAGGAACAGCAACTTTCATTGATTCTTGTTCCACTTGGATTATATCAATGGTTTTACTTTCTATTTCCTCTATGGTTGCTGAGATATTTATGATTGTCTTCTCTAATTTACCTACTCCCAAAGATGGAATTAGCCATCTCACAAAACTATGAAATTAGCAAAACTTCTAACCCAGGTTCTGAGATAGGGTATCACAGCACCCAAGGTGCATGCCCCCTTCCAGTTAGGGGTAGGGGCTTATAAGCATTTTCTCCACATAACCAATGCCATCCTTTCCCTTCAGGAATGGGCCACCACTGAACCACAGTACCATCTATATTAATAGTATGATTGCATTTTGAATAGTGACTTACACCTGTGGCATTTAAACAAACAACCTCAAACTCTGGTTCCTGGTGTCATACATCTTTGTACACAGGTATAATATTCTTTACTTCGATTAGGGTTAACTATTCCAAATCTTAAATTTGTCTACAAGATAGTGTTGGAAATTGGAACGCCAATTAATAATGGAAGGCCCTGATCTTCTCCTGATTTAGGCAACTGTACACACTCCCAACAGTCACTACAATTAACAACTTTAGTAACATTCTACATTAATTTCAGGTATTGGTCCCAAGCTGGTATGTCAGTTATCACATAAATCCAAATTATGACTGATACAATTTCATATGTGAAGGTCCTGAAGGTTCGATCCTCCATGTCTTCTCTGGTTCTGGTGCTTTCTTCATTTTTGAAGAAAGGTTGTTCCTTTATCTTCACTGCTGTAAAGGTGGTCAACATTATCTGTTACGGTCCGCTCCACTTCTCCTGTAGAGGATCTCCTGAAAACTTCTTAACATAAACCCAGTCTCTGAATCTAAAAGGGTGAGTCAGATAATCCATGCCTCTTGCTCTTGTCCCCAGTATTCTCTTATTTCTACTAATTGCTTTCCCAGATTGATCAGAAACTCTAGGAGACAACCTTCTCCCACTTCCAGAAGACTTTCCCCTTTAAACTGGGACTGATATGGTCTTCCATATAAAATTTTTACATGGGATAGCCTCTTCTTTTGACCGAGGTTTAGTTCAAATTCTTAACAGAGCCAGTGGTAAGGCTTGGTATTAATATCTTGACATGTTTTACTAATCTGTTGCTTGATTAGCTTTTCTACTTGCCCACTGGCCTGAGGAACATGTAGCTGCCAATCAAGTTCAAATTTTTGCTAATTTCTTGTAACTATTTTGCACTAAAGGGCGAGCCTTGGTCGGAAGAAGTTGCCTCTGGTACTCCAAAACAAGGTATTATACTGTTTAACAATGTTCCAATTACTTGTCTTGCATTATTTATTCTACAAGGGAATGCTTCTGGCCACCCTAAAGAAGTACTCATTAACACCAACATATATCAGTCTTGGTAATTCAGAAAAATTTATTTGCCAGTGCTGTCCCGGACAACTTCCTCCCCCATTGTACCAATTTGATTTCTATTTTCAATTTTAGGATTATTCTTGAGACAGAGCTGACATTGTCACTAATTGAACTATGGTATATAGATTCCTTCTAAGTATTTACAAAGACTTGCTACCTCAATGAGTTTTATTATGTTCCTCCTGAACTAGCATCCAGAGTTGGTTATAGGGGATTATAATTTGCCCATCAGGTATCTGAACCCAGTCTTCTTTGTTTTCCTCTCCTCCTCTGAGATCTTCAATAAATTTTCTATCCTTCTTTGATTTTCTAGGTTTAGATTTCTCAATTGTTAATTTGCCATCACGGATTAAGGGAATGAGTTCAGATTGTTAAAATCGGCCAAATTTCACCTTGTTGATACCCTCGACAATGCATAATAGCTACTTTCTCAGGTAGCTGAACAGCTTTCAGTAGTCGTAGCATGTTTAATCTGTTTCTCCTGTGTGTTCAAAGGTCCTCATTCTTTCCAGATGGCACCATGTACATGGACCACACCAAATTCATATTTAGAATCCTTTTGTCTTCAGCCAATTCCAGGGCACGTTCCAGATTTCTTTCAAATCAGGCCGGCTCAAATATACACTTTCATATAGTGGTCAAGCAGTCGTGTGTTAATAGTTGCTGGATTCACAACATTAGAGACCACAATTTCTATATTATCCTGTTGCATAAGGGTGGCCTGATATTTTAAAAAACATGAAGGAGATAACCAGTGGGCTTCTTTCTTTTCCAGGAATTCTGATACAACATAGGACAATAGTACAGTAATTTTTTTGTCCCAAGGTAAATATGCGGGCCTCTTCAATATTCATGACAACTGCTACCACAATCCTTAGGCATCCGGGCCGTCTTTTGCTCGCTTCATTCAGCTGTTTTCAAAAATACACCACTGCCCTCTTATAGGGTCCTAGGTTCTGAGTAAGGACCACCAAAGCTATTCTCTGTTCTTCATAGGAATATAGCCAAAAGGGTTTAGTCACATCCAGAAGTCAGAGCTGCAGCTCTCATTAGCTCTGCTTTTAAATTTCTAAAGCCCTCCTCTGCTGAATCAGTCCATTCCAAAGAGAGAGGGGTTTCTTTTGAGAGTCCATATAGGGGTCTTACCAGAACACCATAACCATGCATCCAAAGTCTGCATCATCCAGTCATTCCCAGGAACGTCTGGAGCTCCTCGATGGTCGACAGTCATGGAGTTTGACAAATGGTTTCTTTTGTAGCAGTTGCAAGTTTTCTCTGTCCTGTTATTTCATATCCTAGGTAGGAAACTCGGGTTTGGATTAGTTGGGTCATTTGTCTGGGTACCCAATAACCATTCAGTCCCAGAAAATTCAATAATCCCACCATTCACTGAACACATTCTTCCTTTGTTTCTGTGGCAATTAAGAGGTCTGAGTGGGTGGTTTCCATGATTCTAGTTCCAGTGCCAACTGATTTCGAAAAATCTTTGGACTGTTTTAAATCCTTTAGGTAATACTGTCCAAGTTAATTGGGTTTTCCTTACTGTGTCAGGATGTTCCCATTCAAAAGCAAATAAATTCTGGTTTTCTTTGGCCAATGATAAGCAAAAGAAAGAGTCCTTTAAATCCAAGATGGCAAACCATTTCTGATTCAATTTAATCAATAAGGTGTATGGATTAGCTATTGCTGTATATCCTCTACAAATTTGTTGATTGCTGAGATCTTGAATCTTGAACCAATCTGCAACTTTTATTTACTGGCTAGATAGGAATATTATATTCCAATTCACATTCAATTAAGAATTTATATTTTAAAATTTATCAATGATTTTTTAACTCCTTTTCCTGCAATTTTAGGGGATATTGTTTTATTCTAATTGGGCAGCCCCCCCCCCCTTTTATTTCTACTTTAAGAGGCAAAGCTTTTTTTTGCCTTACTTGAAACTTCAGATGCCCGTACTCCCAGATATACCTGGATTAAGGATTTCTTCTATTTCAGGGAGGTCCTCCTGTTCGCTTTTCTGTTGAATTAAAGATAAGCTCAAAACTGCAATTAATTGATTTTTTAACTCTTAATTCCATTTTGCCTTCTTTAAATGTTGCTACTTGCCCTAATAAAGATTTCGGAGAATTTAGCACTCATAAAAATTTTATGCATTCCTATTTGTTTTCCCAATTTGTACTTTAAGGGTTCCAGAAAGAATGCCTCTTTTTGCCATTTTTTTTTTGTTTTTTTTGTTTGTTTTTTTTTTCCTTGGTAGCCAGTAGCTCCCACATCTGTAACAAATTCTTTTCCCCTGATTCAATGCCAAATAACTTGTTCCTGTATCTACTAAAATTCCACTTTATTTCCTCTGGTCTCTAGTTTTAATTTAACCAGTGGATCTACTAAGGTAGATTCCCCAGGTCCCTTGTCAGTCTAGTTCCAATTCAGCCACCGGAGCCACCCCATGGCACTCTCCCCCCAGGGCAGTCTCACTTCCAACGTCCAAAACTCTCCACAGCACACACACACCGATCCGCTCCCATAGGAGAAGAACCCCACTTCCCCCACCCCGACATTCCTCCTCCACCAGCCTGTCCGCATTTATTCAACAACCCCTCAGTCCCGTCTATCAACATGTCTGTTCCCACTTGTTTGCCTGCCCCAGCACTCATCCCGTGCTCAAACACAGTAGCTGTGTGAGCTGCCCTCTTTTCCCCCTTGGTTTTCCCTTTGTTTTTTTTATCTCACAGCTGCTCACCCTGCTCTGCAGGGGTTACAGATGCTTGCCTCTGCAACAGCACTTCTGGGTTAATGTGAATGTGCTGCTTGTTGCCAGTGACAGCAATCTCCTCCTCCTTATCAATATCTGATAGGACAGATATACAGGGTGCTCCTCTTGGAGGTATCTGTGATATATAATTTTCCTATTTATTTTCCTGATTAGTGCTTTTTAACTTTTAAACATCATTCCCCCAATATCACAGGCTGAAAAACTCTCTCCAGCTTAGCTTTCTGGTTTTCCCTGTCCTTTTCCAAAGCCAAAATTAGGGATCTGGCAGAGCTATATTAATTTCACATTCTGTCTGCCACTATGGGTGGTTTCTTAAAGTGAAAAACGTATCTGTATATAGTACTTCATCCCATTTTCCTGGCCACCTCAAAACCAACATTAATTGTAACAATGTATTATAATTCATAGTTCCATTTTTTAGGCCATTTCTCCAGATCACAGAATTGTAGAATTAACCGGGTTGGAAAAGACCTTTAAGATCATCAAGTCCAACCATTACCCCAGGACTGCCAAAACCACCACTAAGCCATGTCATTAAAGGCCTCATCTCAATGTTTTTTGAACACTTCCAGGGACACTGATTCCACCACTTCCCTGGGCCACCTGTTCCAATGCCTGATCACCTTTTGGTGAAGAAATTTTTCCTAATACCCAGACTAAGCCTCCCCATGCCCAGCTTGAGACATGTCATTATGAGATTAAAATGTGTTTATTTAAATCTCTCTCCTACAATTCAACCATTTTCATTGCTTTATCTAATTAAATTCACTAAGAGTTACCAGACAATGGGAGCTGTAGCCCCATTTTCTGATCTGGCAAATTTAAAATAAATAAATTATACATGTACACACTGCCATAAAGGATCCTCTGCCTTAGGCATCAAACATCCTTAAAGAACTGCTATCAATCAAACCCTAAGACACGACAGACAGAAGGAGGAATCCAAGCCAGGGAAAATTCCATTTCAAATTGGAAAAATGCTTAGCAGTCTCCAGAGCAATCCAAGTCTGGAAAGGCAAATCAAACACATTTAATTAATATCACTGTTTCTTTATAGATGAAATGAAAGTTCAAGTATTGACTATGGGAAAGAGCCATTTCATTGACACACTGTTCTCTTTCCATATCATTCCTGAATGTCTTATGTTTTTTTTTACGGATGAGCATATAATAAATAGGGGGCTAATACCTGTCCTCTGCTACTTAACTTCAGAGATTTCGCACCAAAATCCCAATTAAAACTTTTCCCAATCTAATAAACAATCACAAGCTTGGCAATTAACTTTTCAAAATCAAGCTTTTTACGCTCACAATATTTTTACAGATACAATTCATACACAGTTAGGAACATCACAGTCTTTATAAAAAGATACACCTGCACACAAGACCTGATATTCCACACGTACGCATCAAGTACTCAACATTATCCAGAGAATTTTCATATCAAATGTTACAAATTAAAAATAACAGTGGTGTACATCATGCAAAATTACAGGAGTAGAGAACTGTAACTTTTAAGTTGGCAACAGTCTAACTAAAAACAGACATTGGATGCAATATTTTATCAACTTTTTCTCATTTGCCGAGCCCCCAGGAGACCCTCCCAGTTCTTTCCAATGTGCCAAAATGTAACCCAATGGGCTTTTCTTCAGAATTCCCTTATTTTGACTGCCTCGTATTTCAAACACTCTTTTACAAATCTATAGCTTCTCTTTCCCAGTGCTCTGCAAATGCACTTAAAAATATGAGAGCACCTACACACAAGTTTTATGATATTCTCAGGGGGTTCAGTAAAATAGTATATCTGGGTTCTGCAGATCAACTCCCCTGTTGTTAGATCATGGTTTCGGTTCCAGCAAAATTTACACTGTCCTAGTGATACAGAGGGTTGACCAATGTACAGGGGGGTAGGACAGGGGGGTTGTACAAGGGGGTTGTACAGGGGGGTTATACAAGGGGGTTAGAGGAATTTGCTTGTTCATCTGTTGTAAATGCCTGCTAAGCAGGACAGAGACCTCCGGTCCTGTTGATAAGGAAAGCAGATACCTAGTCCTGGAATTTGCTTGCTTAAACAAAAGTACGATCTGTTGTAAATGCCAGCTAAGCAGGACAGAGACCTCCAGTCCTGTTGATAAGCAGACGCCTGAATCTACTGATAAAGGGAGGAAGCAGAGGATTTACGGCCGGGACACTGACCAAACTCTAAGGCCGCACGTGAAGACTAAAAAGGTGAAAAGTGCAAGAAGAGGAAGACTCATTTACTTCATCTTGAGCCCCCTGACCATGACCAGAGGGGGCACTGCGCAGGCGCAGAGGACCTTCTGGCTCATTATAATACGAAGCTGGGATAGGACATGAATATGTATAGGCGTGTTGTGCAACCTTATGAATATATATAACTTTAGAGAATAAATGTAGAGGTGATGCACGGATTGA